GAGAATGGGGGGTGCCAGTTAGGGAAATAGGAGAGTCAGAAAGAAAAGCTGGGGTGGGCCCTGTTTCTTAGCGGTTAAATGCGCGTGCTCCACTGCTGGCGGCCCGGGTTCAGATCCCGGGCGCACACCGACGCACCGCTTCTCCAGCCATGCTGAGGCCGCGTCCCACATACAGCAACTAGAAGGATGTGCAACTATGACGTACAACTATCTACTGGGGCTTTGGGGGGAAAATAAATAAATAAATAAAATCTTAAAAAAAAAAAGAAAGAAAGAAAAGCTGTGTGGGAGAGAGACAATGAGCTGAGATTTAGAGATGTTGAATCTGGGGAGTCAGTGGGCAGACTAGATGGAGATGTCAGCAGGTACTTAAAAATGTGCATCAGAGGTTCTCAGGGCTCTCTGTTCCAGCTTGGAACATTTCTCAGAGATAGAAAACAAACGGCCCCAAACTGCTGGCCCCCTTGTATTCAATGAATTGTCTAATGCCAGGCCTATATAACTGTTTAAGTTGCATTGAGCTACTTTCCTAAAAGTATTGTAATGTTGTAGGAGGTACATGGTTTATAGAGGATTAAATCTGTGCAATGTATTAAAAAGACACTGTTGCAATATAGGAACCTATTATTTCGCTCATGTATCTTTACTTTTCTTTTGGTAGAGAGATGGAGGAAAAAGTCACACTGCTTAATGCACCTACAAAGAGACCAAGGTAATGCTCAAGAGACTCTTGAAGTAATATATCTTAAATTACCACTAGGGCGTCTTTCTTTCTTGGGCCTAAGCATTGTTTGATCCCAGTAAGTAGCCTTTGGTATCATTTCAGAAGCCAACATCTGCTTAAATGTCAAATAGTCATTTCTGAGAAAAAGAAAGCTGTAATTTCACCCTCATACTAAAGTGGACATCATTACTATGATGAATGTTGAAAAGTTGAAAAGTGTAGGTGTTATGGATCAGACTGGAATCTGATCTGGCCAAGCTGTGGTGAAGCCCTGAGGCAGGAATTGCAAAGCCTGGTATGATAGAGGGTTGAAATAAGTTGTCAAGAAAGAACATACTTTCTCATACCATAATTGGCAGTTCTTCTCAGGGAACAGACTGGAAGCATTTTTCTTTGATGTGGTTTTTATGTTAAATGTGACTTTGTTCTGGGGGTTGTTGGCAGGTCAAGCACTGTGACTGAGGCTCCCATTGCTGTGGTAACATCGCGAACCAGTGAAGTCTATGTTTGGGGTGGTGGAAAATCCACTCCCCAGAAACTGGATGTCATCAAGAGTGGCTGTAGTGCCCGGCAGGTGTGTGCAGGGAATACCCACTTTGCTGTGGTCACAGTGGAGAAGGAACTGTACACCTGGGTGGTAAGTGAAAGCTAAGTACTTTAGAACCATGACGTAACCCTAATTGTTTGCTGGGCCCGGGATGTCTAAGTATCTTGTTAGTTGAACATCAGCTGCGGGAGTGGCAGCATAGCATGAGGGAATGTAAGCTGTTAGGAGAGCAGGGATTTTGTCAGTTGAGTTCACTGATGTATCCCCAATGCCTGGTACATATTAGGTCGCTTGTAAATGTTTTTTGAATGAATGAATGAAAGAGAAAGAATTAAAAGAGCCCTAGATTTGGACTCAGGAGACTGGGCTTTCTCATTTATAGCTGAGTGATTTCAGAAAGTCACTTACTCTCTTCTATTACCATGAGGTTCAGAGCCACTAGTATCTGTGAAATAGCTTTGTAAACAAATGAAGCAGTATACCATATCAGGAAAATTCTAAGACCTCCATCACTGATGGAAGATGGCTAGGTATATATTGAGTAGAATTTTCCTTTGTGCCTTCTAGATTCTACCCTATTTCTCACCTTCTTGAACAAGTTGCCTGTATTTGCTGTCTGTCTCCTCATCTCCCACTCGCTCCTCATTCACCTGTGATGCACTTTCTATCCCTTCCACTCGATTGAAACTACTCAAAGTACTACTTGACAAAGTGACCTATAAATTGTGAAAATAAAACAGATACTTTTTAGTCCTTACCTTGCTTGACCTCCCAGCAGCATTTCACATAGTGGACCATTTCCTCCTTCTTGAAGCTTTTTCTTCCCTTGGCTTCTATAAGAGCGTTTCTTCAGCTGTGCCTTCTCAGGCTCTTTTCAGGCTGCTTTCCTTTAACCAACCTTGTCTTAGGCCCTTGGTTCTTCTCAGTCTTCCTCCTCTTCCTGAGGAAGCTCATTTTTTCCAGTAGTTTCAGATAACTTCTCCATGTGGATAGGCTTTATCTCCAGTGTGTGACAGAGTAGACACTCAACTATTGACTGACTGAAAGAATGAATGAGTGATTTGGCCTCTGTTATGGATTGTTAACTTGCTGTTATTTCCTAAAACCCTATCCCTTAAAGAACTGGCCTCTGGGGGGGCTGCCAGAGGTGGAGTGAAATTAGTGCCTTAAAAAACATATGTATAATGACTTACAGTTGAATTATTGAATGAAAAGAATTACTTATCTCTATAAAACTGTTGAAAAGTCATTTGGGACTATTCTCAGTGCTGTGTTCTCAGTGCTCAGATTCTTGTAGCCCAATTCTTTTTTTTTTTTTTTAATAATTTTATTTATTTTTTTTTCCCCCAAAGCCCCAGTAGATAGTGGTATGTCATAGCTGCACATCCCTCTAGTTGCTGTATGTGGGACGTGGCCTCAGCATGGCCGGAGAAGTGGTGCGTCGGTGCGCGCCCGGGATCCGAACCCGGGCCACCAGCAGCGGAGCACGTGCACTTAACCGCTAAGCCACGGGGCCGGCCCTGTAGCCAAATTCTTTATGACAGTTCCATATTTCAGGGAAACTGTGACCAAAATTTGTCAAACTTCTATTTAGGATTTCCAAGGGGCTATACTCCTGTGGAAAACAATCAAATTAGACTATATAAAGAATTTTTTTTCACCATCACTCATAATTAAATATATAGTTCAACTTAGACTTGAAAGAGAAAGACAAAATTGGGAATGTGTCCTTTTAAGGCCTGATGGATATCAATCTGGATACTTTTTAAATGTTTACCTGTTGGCAGGGGCTTTATACTACCTACCATTAAAAGGTTTAATCCTTAGGGAGCCAGCCCCACGGTGTAGCGGTTAAGTGCATGCGCTCTACTGCTGGCGGCCCTGGTTCAGATCCTGGGTGCATACTGATGCATCACTTGTCAGGCCATGCTGTGGCAGCATCCCACATAAAGTGGAGGAAGATAGGCACAGATGTTAGCTCAAGGCCAGTCTTCCTCAGCAAAAAAAAGAAGAAGATTGGCATGGATGTTAGCTCAGGGCTGATCTTCCTCACAAAAAGCCAAAAAAAAGGTTTAATCCTTTGCCCATTTTTTTTTTCATTTCTAAATTTCCAGCTGATTTTTTTCCTACTATTTTTCTTTTCTTCTTTTTTTTTTTTTTTTTTTGGTGAGGAAGACTAGCCCTGAGCTAACATCTGATGCCAATCCTCCCCTTTTCTCCTTGAGGAAGATCAGCCCTGGGCTAACATCCGTGCCCATCTTCCTGTACTTTATATGGGACACCGCCACAGCACGGCTTAATAAGCAGTGCGTCAGCGCGTGCCCAGGATCCGAACCTGCAAACCCTGGGCTGCCAAAGCGGATGGCGTGCATTTAACTGCTGCGCCACCGGGCCATCCCCGTTACTATTTTTCTTAATAAGAAGTTATATTGAAGATTAGCTTTTGGCGTGAAAAGTTAAAACTTCACAAGACCTTTTTATTTCACAGAACATGCAAGGGGGTACTAAACTCCATGGTCAGCTGGGCCATGGAGACAAAGCCTCCTACCGACAGCCAAAGCATGTGGAAAAGTTGCAAGGCAAAGCTATCCGGCAGGTGTCATGTGGGGATGATTTCACTGTCTGTGTGACAGGTAAGCCATCAGCAGAAAGCATCCAAATGCATTTAATGTGAGGTATTGTACTTAATGCTGTACTATTTTAGTTGGGATTTTACAACAAAAGACAGGATTCAAAGAACCAAAGACAATAAGCAAATATACACATTAAAAACAACAGGCCGAATTTGCTATAGTATTAGGGGGATGATGAACAAGGAGAAGGCAAGTGGATAACAGAGAAGAGGTGGGATCAGGAAATATGTTGTATGTCCCAGTTGGGGGATAAATAACCTCACCACTTAGTCAGGTGTGGATAACACTAAATCAGGAATCCAGAGCTGAAATTTAGTTTTGGTCTTGCCATTACTCACTTAATGATTCCTTGGTACTTGTCTTTTTCTCTATAAAAGAGAGATGACCTTAGTAAAATATTAAGCCTTTTTAACATGATAATCTTACCATTTTTTTTTAACTATTATTGTAACAGTACTCATGACCCCCTACACAAATAACTCTAGACTTGCACAGTCTATCCTTCAGATTTCTCTGATGTAATCATCTCATGTGAGATCATTGGCTGGGGTAGTCCTCATTCCAGCCCTGCCTACCTTTCTGATTGTACAGAATAAGTCATTCCTTTGATGGGATTTGCTTTCCTTCCTTTTGCAGATGAGGGTCAACTCTATGCCTTTGGATCTGATTATTATGGCTGCATGGGGGTGGACAAGGTTGCTGGCCCTGAAGTACTAGAACCCATGCAGCTGAACTTCTTCCTGAACAATCCAGTGGAGCAGGTCTCCTGTGGAGATAATCATGTGGTGGTTTTGACACGAAACAAAGAAGTCTATTCTTGGGGTTGTGGTGAATACGGTAGGTGTAGCCTTGTCTCTCTCCACTGATTCCCAGCTGCACAACCTGACTTCAAGCTTCTGTGCATCTAAACATATCATGCAGCTTCCACTTGAGAAGTGTTAATTCAGTAAAAGAGAATAATCTTATAGAACATTTTCACTGGGAAGGAGGCCCTCATTTTAATGATTTTCTTTCTTATGTGTATCTCAGGACGACTGGGTTTGGATTCAGAAGAGGATTATTATACACCACAAAAGGTAAAATCAGAAGCAGCTTCTTCCATAAAGCCTATCTAGGTCACATAGACCCCAGTAATATGTCCTCTTTCCCTGACTCCTCATATTAAAGTGTTTGTTTCTGAAGTATTTCCTCTCTGGGAGACTGACATTCCAGGATTCCTGATTTAGCACCATGTGGTCTTCTCATCTGACTAAATCATAAAAAGTTGAGAAAGAGGATACAGGCAATGTGGACACTCTGGAGTCACATCTTAACTCAGGGATAAGAGCTAAAATCAGCATGTACAGTGAAATGAACAAGTCACATTGAGCTAAATACACCCTGGAAAATTCCTTGGGAAGATATTGGAAAGCAATATACTGTCTCTTAACCCAACACAGCCATTTTCCCCTCCTACTTGCACAGTTGAACACCAGATGAAATAGTCATTTGTACTTAGGGGTCATATTGTATGACACATGATATCTAATTACTCTCAGTAATTACTGCAAGAGCTGGCAGAGGAAGTGCTGAAACCAGCTGAGAGAGGAGCATGGTCACATCTCTCTCACACCCTCCCTAGGGCACAGGCTTGCCCACTGGAAGGTTGTCTATATTCAACTGTACCATTCACTGTTAACGAAGTTTATTTACATTTTAAAAATTAACTTAAATATTTGTGGGACCATGCTCAGTGGGATTCACAGCTGTTCCTCTTCTTCTGAAAAGGCTGTAGTAGAAACTTTGAGGTTTGAGTTTTCAGATTTCAGAAACATCCATTATGTCCCCCCACCATTCTCCAGGCCTGTCTAGTTAGCTGCAGAGGGATGTGAGCATTCAGATTCCTGGCTGCTACCTCAGTACTCTGTCACCTCACTTATAGTTTGACCAGACTAGGACCCCACAGGGCTACTGAGTTTCTTCTATAACTGTCATGGAGCCTTCCATCTCAGAGGACAAAATCTGCAATGTAGCGAAGCTTCTCCTTTCCCAACATTTTCTGAGAAGTCTTCCTAGGTAGAACCTACTGACTAAAACAGACTTTGACAGGGCCTGTCTGTTTAGCTGACCTGAAACTGCCTTCTTGTACTGTATTATAAAACTTGAGCTCCTGGTTGAAAGCAGTAGCCTCTAAGCTGCTGGGCAAATCTGAAGAGAACAGAGCAACCTTTACTTCCCTGTAGTCATTCTGCTGAATGCAGGATATCACTTTGGAAAGAACTGGGGCGTTTTTTTACCTAATACAAGTTATGTTTAGGGGATTTCTTTTTTTTCGTGCAGGTGGATGTTCCCAAGGCCTTGATTATTGTTGCAGTTCAGTGTGGCTGTGATGGGACGTTTCTGCTGACCCAGTCAGGCAAAGTGCTGGCCTGTGGACTCAATGAGTTCAACAAGCTGGGTCTGAATCAGTGCATGTCTGGAATCATCAACCATGAAGTGAGTACCCCCTTTGATGTCCTAACCACAATGTCAGAACTTCTGTAGGTTGGAATTTTTCTGGGAATGCTATTATTGGTTAGAGACCATGGATTTTAACTTAAGAATAAAGTGACGATTTCACAGACATTATATTTAGCAAAAGAAGCCAGCCACAAAAGAGTACATACTATATGATTCTATTTATATAAAGTTTAAGAACAGGCAAAATTAACTTGTGATGGCAGAAGTCAGAATAGTGGTTACTTCTTGGGGGAGGGGTATGGTTATTAATAGAAGCGGCGGGAGGGATCCTAGGGAGATGAGAATGGTCTGTATCTTGATCTGGGTGGTGGTTTTACATTTTATATGCATAAGGAAAATGTATCAAGCTGTACAATATTTTACAGTATGTTATACCTCAATAAATAAATTGATTACAAAGAGTCAAGTGATGGAATTCAGATTCTACCTTATCACTGAAATAGGTATAATAAAATTAACATTATGAAAAGAAACATATTTCCATGCATCACCTCCCTGGAGAGTTTTTTAAATTTATTGCTCCCAAATCACTAATCCTATATAGGATTTTTAAATATAATTTCCATTCTCCTCCTTCAATGATGTCATGAAATTCACCACTAATATTAAGTCTTAGTCTCTTCTTTGTGTTAGTATGATGAGCTGTCATCATTTTTTGAAGAATCAAATTAAGAGATAAAAGTTTCCTGAATCACTGGAAAAGATAAGAATTTTTCTGCAATCTCTGAAGTAGTGGTTCTCAAATGGGAGAGTACAAATTCAGGGCAGGTCTGAATAGGGTGTCTGTGTACTTTGAAAAGACATATGCAGAATTACCATTACTTGATTTGGGTTTTGTTATAACATTGGATTTGTTGTGAAATTTAAAACTTACATGAGAGGACTTTTTTTTTAATGCTAATCTAAAGGAACATGGATTTTAACACGTTGAGAAACACTGCCCTGTAGATGAAATTAGATCACAATAAACTGGTTGCTTTATGGGCTGGAGAGTCCTCAGGATTTTAATACTTTGCCCTTGCCCTTGTTAGGCATGCAGAGTGTATAACCAAGACAAATGTCAATGATTCTATCCTTATGTAAATATCTTCTGGGGTGGAACGTTCATGTTTTGCATACCCTAATTAGGAATCTAAAACTTTTGTTATCAGAAAATCCTGCCTCATATACTAATTGAATTCTCTGATTACATATTGAGCTTATTTCTTCTTGTATTCTATTGGAAATGAAAAGCTACCTGGCACCTTCTTAGTAATATGATTTGCTTGAAAGCCTGTTACCTGTTAGCTCTCTAGTTTGTGCCTTATGAGTCTTTGCTTTGTGTTTTACCTTGTTTCAGGCATACCACGAAGTTCCCTACACAACCTCCTTTACCTTGGCCAAACAGTTGTCCTTTTATAAGATTCGTACAATTGCCCCAGGCAAGACTCACACCGCTGCTATTGATGGTGAGTTGATTTACAACTGTATACACATGCCTCAGTAGCTCGAGCTCTTTTATTCTGTGAAGTATTACCTCTTCTTAACATTATATACACTCTTCTGAGTTCCCCCTAGTATCCAGGATTATCTCATTAACATGTTAGGCATTCAAGTACAGTTTTTGTTGATAATCATTATGAATGCATAATCAATACATCCCTTAATGAGAATGCCACACCTATAATTCCAGACAACTACTCTCTAATTAGTACCCTCTGTAAGTATTCTAATTTAGAATTTTCCACATTTAAAATGCAATATTGGAGAGAAAATGCAATATTGAGTCACTTCCTGGGTCTAATTGGTCATAGTTCTGGATACCCTAGCTGCGCTAGGTCCAGGATCCTTTGGCTAGCTTTATATTTTTGTACTCTAACAACCAGAAGCTAGTCCGTGGAACTCTGCATTGGCTGTGTTTTATCCTCTGTTCCGTGACGCATTTGTCCCTGGTTATTTATTTTTGCTTCTCTCTCAGAGCGAGGCCGGCTGCTGACCTTTGGCTGCAACAAGTGTGGACAGCTGGGCGTTGGGAATTATAAGAAGCGTCTAGGCATCAACTTGTTGGGGGGACCCCTAGGTGGGAAGCAAGTGATCAGGGTCTCCTGTGGTGATGAGTTTACCATTGCTGCCACTGATGGTGAGTCTGTACACATCATTTCAAGCTTTCTGGATGGATCACTATGTTTTAATTTTTGGTTGGGAAAGAGGTGGGCTGGTTATTTGTATAGCTGAATCATACATTTACTTTATTATTTGTGTTAAATTGGTGGCCAATTGTTATGCATATGGAGCTTCATTAACCTTTCATGTGTCCAACATAGTGATTGTTTTTAAGACGTCAGATTTCTAGATAATGGCAAGTTAATATTCTAAGGCCCTACTTTTTTCACTTTAGCTTTTTTGGTAAAATGTTTTAAGAATTGTTAAATGCTTCTATATATACCTTGCCCAGCAACATAATTTAACCTTGCTTCTTAGTTGGAGTCAGCTGCACTGCAGTGATGTCTTTAGGGACTGCTAGGCCTTGAAGGACTGTATACCATGGGTCTTTCAGCTTCCTGGATTGGTCTAATTGATTTTTCTTCTCTCTTTCCCCTCATAGCTATTTCTACTCGGCAGCATCTCCTTGCACCTATCACTGCTTCTGTTCTTTCCTGCCACTTCCGCCAGTCTTCATTCCCTTCCCTCTTTCTTCTGCTTTTTTTGTCTTTTTTCTCTCTTCTTCCTATATCATCTTCTGAACTTTTTTGATATTTGTAGCTGCTTCTTTCTTGTGACTGCTGAACAACAGTCACATTTCATCTTCTTACCTTTGACTCATTTCAGCTTTTTCTGTTGTTGCTCATGCTCTGAGATGTCTTTGTTTTCTTTTGGTCTGTGCCTATTATATACACATGAGGGGTCCAGGGATAGTGTCACATAAGTGATCTGTTACTGCTTTTAATTAAGTGAACCAACTTTCAGACTGGCACATTAACCTTCCCTGCTTGTCCCAGAACAGGAGGCTTTAGGGAGCAAACTATTTAGGTCAGACTAGATAAATGCCAATATTACCTAGAAAGACAGAGTCAGCATGGCACTGACGATTAAATTGAGTACAGCAAGTTCAGTAGCACTTCTGTCAGGGCCTCAAAGAGGTAATGTTTCTTCAGTACATCTCTGTACTTCATGAGTTAAACTTCAGAATGAGGAGGGTAGAATTGGATTCTGTGGCTGGACATATTACCTCTTGATAAATGTTCCTGTACTCCTCTGAACTGTATTTGATCGCCTCATTCACACAGCAAACATAAACCGAGTTCTTACTATGTTCCAGGTCCTCTTCTAGGCTCTCAAATTTAGAAGTGAGTTTCAGAAAGCCTCTGTCCTCAAGGAGCTCACAGTCTAGTAGAGCAGGGGAGACATACATATAAACAGACTGGTACAGGCAGATGCATAAGGCGCCATGATAGCAGTATTCAACTCCGCTAAGCTCTGGAGCGCCAAGGGCTCAATCCTCCTCTCTCTCCACTGTCTCCCTTCACTCCCTAAGTGAGGTCATTATCTTAAATCCCCCCATACACTAAGAACTTTACAGTCATGCGCTGCATAGCAACGTTTCAGCCAATGACAGTCTGCATATATGATGGTGGTCCCATAAGATTATAGCCTAGGTGTGTAGTAGGCTATACCATCTAGGTTTGTGTAAGTACACTTTATAATGTTGACACAATGATGAAATTGCCTAATGATGTGTTACTCAGAACATATCCCACCGTTAAGCAACGCATGACTGTATATTACCACCTGTGACCTGCAGACTCACTTATTCAACAGCCCCTCAACTTAGATGGCTAAAGATAGGGTGGCTTTGTAGCATAGTTTTCCTGGGTCAGTCCTGATTCATGCCTGTTGTCCTGGGTTAATCCTTAATAACACCCCCTTTCCCCCCCCCCCCCAAAGCCCCAGTAGATAGTTGTGTGTCATAGCTGCACATCCTTCT